CATAGTTAGATTCAGCTTAGTATCTTGAGTTTGATATTTCTTTTGTATTAAACTCTCAGATTTGATATATTCAGTTACAGTATATGGGTATTCCCCATCTTTTCAGATTTATTTATGATTTAGCTTCCGCATCAGTTTATTATCTTTAGTATGCTCATGATCATGCCAGCAGGGTTAGCTTGGGATCACTTGTGGTCTTAGGTCCCGTGTTCGCGTCTCGGGGGTAGCTCGGGGCGTGACACTTCTCCTATATTGATGTTTTGGGGATTTGAATTATACCTGTAAGCAATTAGAAAGGAGGAAATATGACTACAAATCAGAAGGGCAAGACAATTTTGGTTTCGGCAGATGAGTTTGCAGAGTTCTCTCAGTATCGAGAATTCCTTAAAGAATTCACTTCAGTTACTACCCTTGTTGATGTAAAACTGTGGAATCTGGGACCGTCAAAGCAGCCTCCTCTACCCTATCATTTGTATTAAAGTAACTGAAGTTTGACTTCAATTTGATTTATGTATTTTAAAATAATTTATCCTATCGAAATTGGAGTGTCTGAGTTTACCAGAATGCTCCCAGGCACTAGCATCGAGGTAATGCACTAAAGGTTACTTTTTGAATCAGAGTCTGGATTCCGGTGGTCCTTCTGATCACCGGAAATTTTATTCTCCTTTATTCCGTCAACTTTTGTTCATATGGATAGTCACATTTATTTTCCAGTTGGTTTTAAGTCTTATAACATCGTTAGATTCATGGTTTGAGTGGACTGAGAGAGGTAGGAATTTCTTTAGAAGGATATCTCTGAATAGGAAGACCCTGGAATGGATTGTCAGATTCTTTGAGAGGCATCTAAGTTCAGAGGAAATGGTGTTAGAAGGTGGGAAAAAAGAGAGTTTCTTCGAAACTTTTTGTGCAAGGAACTTAAATAACTTTGGCTGTTATATCAGCATTATCAATATTCGGGGAAGGAGGAGGGTTGTTCTAATTATTCCAGAAATTACTTTCAATGCTGGATGGAATTTAATAGCCGACAAGATCGGTAGGTTCATTTACTATTCTAGCGACCAATTGTAGATAAGTTGATTATCAGGGCAACGATATGGTCGAACTGGAGGATTTGGCCAAAAATGAAAAGGCAAGCTGAAGACAAAAGTCTAGAGTTTTGTGGCTTCAACAGGGGGTAAAAACACTAAATTTTTCCAGAGAATTGCCACTTCTCATAAGAGGTACAATACCATAGACAGATTGAAAGTCGAGGATGAAGTTGTGGTACAAATGCCTGAGATTAAGAAAACTATGGTGGATTTCTATATGAGACTATACTTGGAAACAGGATCTTGGAGGCCCTCTTTTGAATTCCCAGATTGTCCTAAAGTCAATGATGAAGAAAGTGAATGGTTGCAAAGACCCTTTTCAGTGGCAGAGGTCTTCCAAATTATTAGTATGTGTGTGGTGGACAAGGCACCTGGCCCGAATGGCTTCATAATGGGTTTCTTTAATGAGTGTTGGGGATTTCTTAGAGAAGATATAATTTCAACTGTTCAAAATTTCCATCAGAATGAGATTTTTGAGAAGTCATTCAATGCTACTGTCACGACCACGACCATCGTGAGTGACACCCACACTAAATCACCTGGTGGGAGAACCAACTACTAACCCGAAACCCTTTAAACAAAACTAAGTTTATCATATAAAAGTAAGAAAACAGTTAAGAAAACTAAAGGATTGAGTCCCATAAACTCAACCCAATAGTCCAAATCATTTATGCGGAAATAAATCCCTAAGAACTGAAAGTCATCATAACCAAAACTCTAAACAGTCAAAATGGGGATGCAACCCCGAAACTAATCATAAAGCTAAAGACTAAAGTCTGTGTTCGAAAAGATGGACAAGAGAAACAGAAGAACCCATGGTAGCTCGAAAGATGTAGCTCACCCTTGGATTTGGAATTAGGCGTCTCTCAACTAAGGTCTTGGATCAGCCGCTGGAAGATGCTCTGTACTCAACAAAGAAAAGAACAAGTGCAACATCAGTACACAAACCACAGTGTACTTATATGACCAGTCCAAGATATGAATGTAAACAGTTCACCATAAAGCAGTAACACAGAACAATGCACATAATAACAGTTATCAACCACAAAGACTCTCAGTCACATGTCATGAAAAACCAATACCTGGATCAACCAATGCATGAAACATGTCCCACATGATCACAAATGCAAATGTCTGGTCCTCTCATGGAACCAAATCACATACCTGGTCCTTTCACGGAACCCAAACCCAAACTGTTAGCGTACCGGTGTGGTACCCTAGCCATCCATAGTTAGTGTACTGGCGTGGTAACCGAGCCATTCATAGTTAGTGTACCAGCGTGGTACCCGAGCCAACCAACAATCACAAACAATCATTCACAATCACATAGCACGGTGAGCAATACCACTTGAAAACCACAAGTCACAATAATAAGTTCATTGCATGAGAGTACCTACATGATGTTATTTCATATGCTTCCCTACCATGCATTGCACCAATGATACTACAAAGCAATAGACATTCATGCATACATAAACTAGAAACATACAACCATCACTACCTCGAATCAAGCCTCTTGAAAATTCTAATTAACCCAAGTTTTCCCCATGCGAAGTGTCTTGGCTTGTTCTTGGTCTAAAACAAACAAAACAACAATTAATCACTAATGGCCTATTAATTTACCTATATTATTAACAAATCCTAACCGCGGCCAAAATATGATCATCCTCCCCAACTTAGGGCTCTTTCCCACTATGGAATCATGTCAAAACCTCTCCCAAGGGAAATAACCTAGATTCTAAGGCTTAAGAAGTAATATATAAGGTTGGGGAGTCAAATTCTTACCTTTACCAATGAATTCCGTGGGAAAACAGGTGCAAACTTCCCAAAATCGTCCCTCCCAAGTTCAAGAACACAGTTCAGAAATTAGGGGTTTTGGGGTTGTTTCTGCATTAAAAGTTAAAACCCAATTCAGCTCGCTGTAGCTGTCCAGCCCACTAAAGTGGCCCAGCTTGCTATATCGGAAGCTTACCCCGCTATAGCAGTTTCGATCTTTTCACGACCCGAGGTAAACCATAGACGTTACATGGCGTATAAGACCCTGAGATGCCCTACACAAGCAACTTGACATACATACAACACAACATAATAGACAAAAGTAAGAAAATCTCATATCAATAGAAGAGTTTGACAAACAAGCAGAAGTCTAAACGTAGTCTTGACAAGCCATTCTAATACATCAAGAAGTGGTTGGGACGTAACCCGTACACCACGTACAATGTCTGAAAACTAGAACATAAGAAAGTAGGGTAAAAGTGACATGGTCCTCGGAACATGAGGACTCACCAACTCTTTTAACTACAAAATTAGTTAGAACATAACTCTTCATTTAGTTATGTTGAAATCAGTTCTCAAGGCCTAAGAAATATTGGGAATTGCAGTATTCTTCACCAAGATATTTATCACCTTGTCATATAAATAGATAGTGAAATGTCCCCTAGCCCCTTAACAATCCTTGAGCCAGACAAGTAAGAAGTTTTAATCTGGCCTAAAAATGTTCTTTTGGAAAAATACCTAGAATTTTTCCTATTATTAAATAAAGAATTGGCTTTTACTTTGTAAGAATGTTTTGTTGATCTTCATCTCATAGACATTGAGAAACTTTCAAGTTATTAAGCATAAAAGATTTTAAATAGCCAACCTAAAAGCAGAAAATCTGTAAAATAAAAATTCAAGATCCTTAATTATCTCAATTAAACTTATCTAATTAAACTTAAATTTCCATTCAAAACTGATTGTTCTAGTAAACCCGTTGTAACAAAAATAATTTTAAACAAAAAGGGACTATTTTGGACATTTTTTACCCTGCTCTCCTTCTTGAGAAGTTGTTTATGAAGGAGAATGCAAATGTACCTTTAATGTGTTTTGCTAAAGAGTATAAGGTTAGCATCCTACCCATTTTCTTATTTTCTTAAATGCCCTTACTATTTCTTCAAACAATGGGGGCTATTTTGTCGTTTAACCTAGAAAATCATAACACAACATACCCAATGTAATTTCACAAGTGGGATCTGGGGAAGGTGGTGTGTAGACAATCTTATCCCTACCTTATAAAGATAGAGAGATTTTTGATAGATCCTCTGGACTCCAATAATGATAAGGTAAAAATAATCGTAGTAAATATTAATAATGCAATTAAAAGTCAAAATTTATCTTAGCGGCGTTTAAGCAAGGCATGAGAAATAAGATTTAAGAATGGTTAAGCCATCCAATGTTGTCAATATAAGGATTAATATTGAAATGGATAATGTGCTAAATCATACTTGGTGTATTTCAGATGGAATTTATAAAAGGCATGTCTATTTTTATGGAATAATTTAATTATAGCTCTAAAGTGTATTAGGAAACACAATATTATGTGAGTTATAATGCATGCACTATGAATTTAGTTTTGCATACAATTGTCAATATTACTTAAGGAAAAACTTGAAAGTAACAATAGAAGTGATAAATATGTTGTCGGAAAAGGGAAGTAATTAGTTCAACAACTTCAATTAAGTCAGTTAAGGTAAAAAGGTAACAATAAATATGACCAATTAGAGGTGTAAAATCGTCTTATTATAATGTTTTAATTATAAAATTGGAATTGTCGAAATTTACTTCTTGAATTACATTTGGAGAAAGTATGTGTATATGTAATATAAAACTAGTTATTTGATATGTTTCCTTTTCTTTCATAGTGTAGAATCAACATTATGTAAAAGAAATACATTAGTTCGGGGAAGAGTCGCAACCCAAGTGGATGGTATAATGTAGACAACACACCCCAATGCAAGCATTAATGACTGCTTCCGTGGTTCAAAACCATTGCTTTAAGGCTCCCCTTCTGAATAAACATTATATTATATATGTAAATAAAAGGAATTTTGTTATTTTTCATTTTAGCATTATTAATTTACAATTAGTGAAATAAACAAGAAGTTAATTTTTCTTGGGATTCTGGGTAACCTCATAATAAATTCTCGATAATCTCATAATAAATTATGGGTAACCTCGTAATAAATTCTTGGTATCCCCGTGTAATGATTTAACCAGGCAAACATTGCATTTGATTCTTTTAGACCAAGAATCATGGCTTCTAGCGAAAATTATGAATTCGGAAGTAGCAGCAATTTGAGAATTTCGTTGTTGGAGAAACGAGAAGTGGGAGTGACGAAAGCCCTAGATCGAATTAGTAAGTTGCCAGACTCACTTCTTGTTCGAATTCTCTCCGTTTTGCCGACACAGGAGGCATTCACAACCTCTATTCTCTCAAAGAGGTGGCGCTATGTTTGGCCTTATGTTGATAGCTTCAATTTCACTCGTAAAAATTATCTGAAAACAAAAGACTTTGTATCCTTTGTAGACTATGTATTAGCTCGTTCCCTTTCTTCCAAAATAAAAAGATTAGATATTGACTGCAGCTACCTGCATCCATACAAATCACATGTTAGCAGATGGCTTAGTATTGCTGTTGAAAAAAATGTGGAAGATTTTGTATACCGCTCAAGTTCCAATAGTAATGGTTGCACATTGCCTCAATCTTTCTACTACTGCTCATGTTGGTAACATTACATTTGACATTTTATTGCTTTGATTATGGAGCGGTCATTAAGTGGAAGTCTCTAAAGAATATAAAGTTGGAGTATGTGGTGTTATCCGATGACGACTTTGTGAAGTTATTGTCTGGTTGTCCTGCTTTAGAAACTATGGAAGTTGATATGGTTGGGGGCTTTAGTCGCTTGGAAATTAGTTCCTTAAAAATGAAGAGACTAAATTTGAAAGGCTTGTTGTATTTTAGTATTGGGAATGATCACTTCTTGGAAATTCATGCTCCATATCTTCATAATTTTGAGATTTCAGGATTTCATCAGGAATGTAGTCTGGTAGACGTGTCTTTGTGGTGAATGCAAAGCTTACGTTCTACACTAGATGTACCAAAGATGTACATGCTCTTCTTGAAGAAGATATTGATGATGAGGAAGATAGTTGTAAGGATTCCCATCAAGTTTTTGGGACCCTCGTCCAAGATTATCTACAAAAGTTGAGTTGTGCAATTGAGCTTACAATAGGAACTTGGTTTATAGAGGTTTGTTTCTAACTTTTAAGTCCGTGTTTTCCCTCATTGATAATTAGATAGTGGCGTTTCTTAATATTTTTTTTTACAATTGAGAATAAATTTCACAAAAGCAACAAGATCAATTACATAAACTTGTGGGCCTTTTTGCAATCTGTTTGTCAACTTTTTGAAGTCAATTATTTCTTTGAGAAACCATTTATTTTTTATTACATTTATGTAGCTTAAAATATTTAAATGGTGTTGGTGAAATTACAATTGAAAACTTTCCACAGTCCATAGTAATCTCCTTGACTTGTCCCCTCCGAGATACAATAACCCAATCACAATGTATAACTCAATAAACGGTGGAGAAGAGTTGAGTTTAAAGCTCCATCGAAAGAACACCTTCCTTCAACTAAATAAAACTATCTTTTCTACTAACTTTTATGCACTCTATATTTTTCTTATTGTACACAATATAATGTAAGATTACCACTATTTATAAGTAAGAAATTCTTCGTTTGTAATGAATAGGAAGAATATGGGATAGTAAATTGGGTAGATAAATGACTTGGAGATTACATAAGTCATTAGGCATAAAGAGGTAGAATAACAGGTGAATAATGAGTTATTGTGTTATAGGAGCTACCAATAGAAAGTAATTGTCAATTAGTTATTCCGGATGAGCTCTAACATTTACGGATGAGAAATGCAACACATATGAGACTATTCATATTGCATAATGCTAATGTTAAAATGCCACGTAATCTAACAATCCCCTACTCATTTTAATAGTAGATAAGAGAGTATATCAGTTGAAGGTAGACTATTATGCATAGTGAAAGTGTGCTCTGTATTGAACCTTTACTCAGTAAAACAATAATTTTTACTCCAGAGTCATAGTTGTCTCGGACTTGAACTGTGATTGCTTAAGGGGATATGAAATATCTCTGCTTACACATAATAATCAAGGTGTTTGAGCTTTAATATCCAACACATTACGTTCTTGTGTTATCCCAATATTCATTAAGTATTTTTGAGAATAAACTCAATTCTCATAGGACACCCTATTTTCCCACTCAATAGGTGAAATCTGTCGAGAGTGTTGCAGTACGTTTAACATCCCATTCATACAAGCTACATATTTTCATTAAGATTTTTTAGACTCAACCTTCATAAATCATTACAGGAAAAATGCACTCAAATCTTGGCCTCTTGCCTCCTCTTCTATGTGGATTTGTATTATCAACATCTCAAGTGAGGTTTTCTTTTGTATGTGGCACCTGTTTTTATAAATTCCTTCCAAGAAGGTGGAAACTTATATAATATGCCACAAACAATAAGATTCTCTCTAATTTTTATCTCCTTGGATCTGATCTCTCCCACAATCATTATAAAGTCTTGAGCTTAATCTACCACTGATATTTTGTCCACCATTTGGAAATGAAAAAACCTAGTAGCATCATTTCTTTTGGCTCCATCCTAGTCGGTATAATACTTACTCTACAATACTTTCAAAATTTTGTTTGCATTAGAGCAAGTTATATCATAATAATTATAAAATTACTAGATAGACAATTAAGAAGATAATATCGACACTTGTAGGAATCATTATCATACTTTTCCACTTTCTCTTGAAAAGAAATAAGTTCATCATCATTCATGAAGGTACAATCTTCTTTATTAGGATTCTTCTCAACTAACACATAAGAAATATTGAGAATACTTATGTAAAATGTACTTACCATTCCTTCTCTTGAAATGAGTACCATTGAACTGAAATGGATGGTAAGATCTCCCATCTTGACATCCACGAATTCTTAAACTGTTGTCATTGAGTCTCCTTAAAACTGTTGGTGAAGTTACAATTACAATTGAAAATAAAAATGAAGAAAATAAAATTCAAGTCCACAGCAACAAAGTTTTTTAGCACTCCAGTAGTAATATTCTTGACGTGTCCCCTCCACGATAAAATAACTTAACCACAATGTGTAACTCAATAAACTTTGGATAAGTGTTTAGTCTAAAGCTCTACCAAAAAACATCTTTCTTCAACTAAATAAAACCCAAGTTGCCCAGACTCTCCGAAAATGATGCCGCACCAATGTCGGATCCTTCAAAGATACACTATTTTTGGAGGATCCAACACGCACCCGTCGACATTTTGAAAGAGTCCGAGCAACATAGACTAAAACTCTCTTTTCTGCTAACTTTTACTCGCTCTGTATTTTTCTTGTTGTACACAATATAATGTAAGACCACCACTATTTATAGGTGAGGAATTCTTCTTTGTAATGAATAGGAAGAATATGGGGTAGAAAATTGGGTAGATGAATGTCTTAGAGGTTACATAAGTTACTAGGCATAAAGAGGTAGAATAAGGAGTTATATATACGTTATAGGTGTTACCAATAGAAGTAATTGTCAATTAGTTACTCCAAATGAGATCTAACATAAAAGGGATGAAAAATGCAGTACATATGAAACTCTTTATATTACATAATAGTAATGTTAAAATGCCACATAATCTAACAGATGGTTTTGTTTTTTGGATAAATATATAAGCAGGGTGGTGTAAACAATGTTTTATGGTTTGGATTTTCAGAACACTGCCTCTCTTCGGTGGAGTAATTTATTTTTGTTGATGTTGCTTTCTCCGTTCCTTACTAGTTACATTGGGATTACTGCTGCAGGTCATGTGCATGTTGCAACTCGAAGGAGTACAGATTCCCGAAATGAAATGCAAATATCTAATGCTAGAGGAGTTGGATCTGGATAAGCTTAATTTGTTTGGGGTAGCTGGCCTTTTGCGAGCCTTGCCGCATGTGGAGACACTCAACATAGACTTTACTACAGTTGAGGTAACTTCCTCTCTTCTTTTGGCATCTGTTCATTTTATGACGTTTTAACAACATTACCCTAAGAAAAGGCCTGAAATGGTCCCATATCTCTGGGACTGTACTTAAAATGGTCCCTTATATGTATACATTAGAGCACAAATAGTCCTTCCAATTTATAAGAATGGAGCACTTCCAGTGTTCTCTATGATGGTAGTTGGTCACATGTGTGTTACGAAGATATCCGTTGTCCTTGAAGAACATACCTCTTCTATTCCCTGCTTCTCTTTTCATTTATCTGGATCAACTAATAAGGACTAATACTATGCAATGAGTTGATATTGAATAAATAGTTTTGTTTTCATCAAACCGCATTCTTGATGGACCTAAAGATTGCTTTAAAGTCTTGTTGATCTTGATCTCATGGACACTGATAAATCCTTCAAGCCATGGCACCCTACCCATTGTTTATATTTCATAAATGCCCTTACTATTTCTTCAAATAACGGGGGCAAATAATTCTTCTCCACTGTTCCGTGGAAACCATTTCCCCCGCTGAAGTTAGCCTGCCCCAAGAATATAAATCTGCCGTGAGGATAATGCTTTTGGTCAGCAAAAATATTTATGTTCAACTTGGTAATGCTTTGAGGTGCAAACCAAGAGTTTGAGGTCCAAATCAAACTATCATGCTTTTGGGGTTGTCTATATATGCTTTTACGAAAAGATATGCGACACAACCAACAATTTGAATACGTAGATCAATGGAAGTCTAAGAAATTCCTTGCAATAGAAATATGTTATGACTTGATAGAGGAATCGCCTAGCAGTCTATGAGAGGAAGTGTTCATCGGACAAATAAATGAAAGAACCAGTCGCCACGAAGCGAAATGGGAAGATGAGATGGCTATGTGTAAAGGATAGAATGGACTGTCTTGCAGAGGAAGAGGAATTACTTGGTAGTTAGACTTTTTTGTGGAGAAAACCAAAAGGTTTCTTAGAGTTAACCTTCTATAATAGGTTCGAAAAACTCATTTTTCATTATCAGTGAGCAACTTCTCTTTTGTCACTGTAAAGGGACACTTAATACTTCAATACGGTCAGTTTTGTTGCTTTCTTCGTGGCAAATGAGCCCCGGAACGAAAAGGATTGTTGTGCTTTTAATCTCTGCTTGGGCTACCTATAGTCCTATACCATGAATGTTTATCATAGGAACAACCATTTAAATGATTTCCCAAGTGGAAAGTACCGATTTCAATATTTTCTCGTTTCTATCAGAACTTTCTACTCTGTGAAATCATTTTTGTCAGTTTTCTGCAATTATATTAGGCTCATGTGCATTTTATCCTGATTGTATTCTGTCTCCAGTTTATGGGTAACCGCTGCCAATCTGAGTTAAGATATTTGGCCAAAGGAGAATCCATTGATTTGCAGAATTGGATATCAAGCTTCGAGTTTCCCAACCTCAAGAATGTTAAGATTGTCATCCCCTTAAGGACATACTTGAATGATCATACGAATTGGGGCTTGGACAAGCTTTACAGACTTTCAGAATTTTTGACAAATGCAAAGGTTTTGAAGAAGTTCATCATCATATCAAAGAGAATAAAGTCGGAGAGCAGTTGCGGGTCCAAATATTTGTTTCAACTTGCTGATAAACTGATATGTTGCCCAAGATCCTCTACCAATTCTATAATTATGTTTTTTCAGGAGTGAGCTTTCTATGATTAGATTGCAAGTAGAGATTTCTGTTCAGTTTACCAGAAATGTTAGCATAATTAGGCTTTTTGATTACTGTTGATGAAAAGCTTGAACTTGCCTATGCAAGTAATAACTATTTGTTCCTGTTATCTTACGATTATGACATGCCAAATGTTATGGTTGTTTGGATTATCGTGAAGCTTTTTATCGTGTTGCCTTATTGATGTTGTATACATGTTTTGGAGTTTCTTCATTGGCTTTTCCCCCTGAAATCTGTGAAGATGGGCAGATCTACAAGCTACACTCTTCTCTGATAATTAGGTCATGAAATGTTACCTTTGTCCATATGACATTAAAGTATTATGATGATTACCTTTTTGGCATTTCTTGGAAAGTATAGATTTGTACTGTTTGTTTATCTCAAGTGATATGTAGTTTTTTTTTTTTTTAAGAAAAAATTAAGCCATCACCTTAACCGTGTGTGTGTGTGGAGGGGGAGGGGGGGTTAGACTTGATCCCTACCATGTCTATAACATCCAAAAAGTTACAAAAGCAGAGGGGGACATGGACCTAACCTCAGAGAACGAGGATGAACTAAAGAATCTACAGAAAGACTAAGATGACATAGACTTTCATACTATAAAATACAACGGTTCAACTAACAAAACAATTATATCTTCTCTTTATGCTAGGAAGTTGCCACTTATCTAGTAGAAATAGTACCTTCACCACTTTAGGAAATTGATGAAAAGAATAATAGAAGGTACCACTTCCACTTTAGGACGCCTGTTTAGCAAAGAAGTCAGCTATTTGGTTGGCTTCTCTATAGCAGTGGGAAATATTTACTTTTGCCCCATTCATGGCCTGATTAGGGACTTACACTATTTGGATTTAACCGAAAAACAAAATCAAATCAAAACGATTTCTAAATTGGATTAGTTTTTTGGTTTGGATTAATAGTTTACTTTGTTTAGTTTTGGATTTAAAAAATAAAACCGAAAAACAAAAAAATGAATTTATATATATATATATATATATATAGAAGTAATAATATTGAATCTCTTAAATATACCTTCTAATATAAATCACAAGTAAAACGTAAACCACAATACTTAAGAGTATATCAATTATAGATGTCCAAACATAAAATATAAATTAAATCATAATGAAAGACAATAACACACTCTCTCTTTATATATTTTATGTTTGGGCATCTATAATTAATATACTCTTAAGTATTGTGTTTTATGTTTGGACATCTATAATTGATATACTATTAAGCATTGTGTTTTACGTTTTACTTGTGATTTATATTAGAAGGTCTATTTAAAAGATTCAATATTATTACTTCTCCTATATATATATATAGGAGAAGTAATAATATTGAATCTTTTAAATAGACCTTCTAATATATATATATATATATATATATTCAAAATTGCAAATATAACTTTGATTATGTTTATAATTATTGCATAACCAAATAACCAAACTGAAAAGAGAAAACCAAACCTAACCAAATTTATTTTGGTTCGGATTGGATTACACTTCTTGAAAACTAGAAACCGAAAAACCCAAATCGAATAGTACAAAATCAAACTGAAAAACCGAATGCACACCCTAGGCCTGATCAATGTCTTGAATGATTCCTTTCAGCTTCAAGTTTTTGGTATCCTCGGGTTTGATCATGTTGGCCACTAACATAGAATCAAGTTTCAAGTCATATTCGTTATAGCTAGGTTGCTTGCACCATCTGGTAACATATAATGCTGTCATAGCTTCAGCTTGATTGTTGGTTTTGCATTGAGCAGAGACTCAGAATGCCATGATAAGGTTACCAGTAGCATCCCTAATGATTCCTCGTATGCCAGACATTTGTGTTGTCTTTGATCTTTTACCTATCTCAGGTTTCATCCACCGACAATAAGTTTGTACCTTTCAATTCTTGCACAAAGTTCAGCCCATGTACCTGTAGTGTCACTGTTTGGAAAGGCAGTGGAAATGGCTGCCTTGATATTCCACAAGATATATGCACCTCCTTGAAGTCACAATTTTTTTTATGATTTCCATATTTACAAGCTGTCCAACTTTTCCAGATTTCTCAAGAAATGCAAATAGGGGTAATTTGTTGCATCATACTATACATTGTTGATGGTGCTTAAATTCCACCAAGTACTGAAAATTCGTTGAATATCTCCCCCTTGGTGATTAATTCCAAGGGAGTTTCCAAAAGTATTTGGCCGTATCACTATCACTGAAAACATGCTGCAAGGATTCACATACAACTGGAGTTGTACAATACATACAACTGGAAACTAAAACTCATCATATTTGAGGATAAAAAATAAGATTTGACCCCAAAATATGGACTTAAGAGTCCATTTATACTGGACAGCCAACACGATTGGTATACATTGGTCTATCTAAGAAACAGAATGATGCTTTTCTATCTGAAAGGATAAATTTAATTTAAAATTTTTCAATTTATCCTTAAAAGAGATGATATGTAATTTTATATAGATTTATAATTTGTTTTAGTTTTTTTTTTAAAAATTCTATACTTGATCAAATAATATCACGTTATGATCTGGAACAACGAGAGTAATATAATAGCACTAGTGGTCCAATAGACGTGAAAATGAAATTTGAAAAAACTTTTGGAACAAAGAAACACATTTTGTCATCCAAGATATATAAAAGAAAATGAGAGAGAGAATTGTGAGACAAATCTAATGATGATGATAATTGTCATTATTTTATTATTATTATTATCATAATTCCCTATCATAAATTGTAATGATTGTCACACATACGAGTACCTAAAATGATTTTGTTACTCGAATAGTTATTCAATTATTAAAAATTATGAATAAAGTCATAATTTTTTTGTCATAGAAAAACCACTCTTCTATTAGTATTTCACTCTAAATCATTTTGATCAATTATTCAATGTTTGAGCCCTAAATTTTTGATTTGGCATTTTGAAGTTAAATAATCTCAAAATAAAAATCAAATGCCTCCAACCTCATTGACACCGCTGTAGTACTAGAAAAAAACATGACTTCTTGTGAAAAAAAATAAAGAAATATGAATTTAATAATAAATTTGAGTAATGAACAGTCAAAAAAGTATTACGACAATAGAACTTTGGTTGTCTGTTCTTGTTACATTACTCTAAAACACAACTACTTCAACATTGATTTTTTCAAAATAAATAATTGCATTCAATTGACATTATAGCATATTAATGCCCAATCAAACATATGAAAACTTTAATCCAGATCCTTGAAACTTTTCTTCTATGATATGATTGAGTTTATCACTCATCTCTATAGTAAAATAATTCTTCCAATCTCCAATTTCTCCTCTACGAAAGAACAAATTATATGCCTCTCCAGTTGAAAACTTTCCATTTGTATTCACTTCCAAATTGCTCAAATTCTCAAAGCTACACATTTTTAATATCTCATCCACCACTCCACAATTTTCTTCCTCTATGGAAATTGGACATTCCAAGAATTCTGCCAAGCGTTTAAGCTGAATTTTCGGTTTCTTTTTAATTTCTTCATACATTAAGAAAAGTATTTTGGTAGGGTTTTCTATGCTTTGCTTCCAATAATCTAACACGTGATTCCAAAATGGACCATAAAGGCTCACCCCCTCACAGAAAAGATCAAACATTACTTCAATGGAATTGGTATCGTTGTGATGAAGTATTAAATTGTTTGTGAAATGCCACATAGAAATAAAAGTGTCCCTAGGATTCCTACATAAGTAAACAAGTTTGGTTTTTGAATCTTGGACTGATTTTGGCAATGAAGCAAAGGGCACATGAGTTGCCAAGAGTCTAGGTGAAGTGAATGTTGAAAAATCAGGGACTCGACCATCAATATAGAGAATATGCTCCAAGAATGGAATAAGAACATGAGGGTTATTGACAAGTAAAGGATGATTGGGTTCAAAAATAGGATGTTTCACTCGATTCACCAAAGCAAATAAAAGTGATTTTAACCAAGTAGTTCCTGATTTTGGAGTTGTAACTAGAATGATATCACTATCTTCAGCTTGAAATTGTTGTTGAAATGCAATCACACCTTGAAGAAATCTTGGTGGTGTCCAAAAACCTTGATAATTGTAGACATATGATCCAACCCATCCTTTATCTTTTGGCAGGATGGAGAGCAATTTCTTACACTCTTCACTTAGGTTATCCTCTTGTAAATATTTGGGAGGAGAAGTTGTCATGATTTTGAGGATTGAGTGTTTTCTTAACGTTTGAGGCTTTTATAATAGATACGCATGAATAATACACTTACTATCCACGTGAATGTTTAGTCATACACTTCATGTGACTTCACTACTTCACATTTTTCATGTCTTACTATTAGTAATAATTACTTTGATTCACTTATTTGATTTGTCAAGAGAGTGCTATTATCGTGAGTGTGTTAGAATAGTTAGTGAGGCAGTCAAAATTAATGCAGTGTTTTGTCTTCTTTGTCAAGTAATGATTTTAATTTCAAGATGATTTTTTTTTGGTGTTTATTAAATCAGTAATCTTTTTAATTTATAACCATGAAAATCTAATTTAAACAAAAAATAATAATCTAATTTAACTATATACTTCCTCCAATGCTTTTAATTATTCCCGATAAACTTTGCACTCTTTTTAAGAGAACATAAATAACATGAATATTTTACTATAATATCCATATTAATTAACACACAATTTTAATGGACTTGTGAGTGATTTGGGAAAACTAGTCAATGTTAAGTATAAATTTTTTAAAAAGATGTCTTTCTCTTGATATGCTAAAGTAAGCAAATTGTCACACCCGAACCTGCACCCCGGA